GGGACCTTTTGCTGCGCCTTGACGCGCGTCAACCATTGACTTTGCATGTAAACTCGCTGCTTCTGTTGCGCCAGCTGCGTCCAGTGTGCTCAAAAAAAAAAAAAGCTCAAAACAACCGCGCCTGGATTGACGGAGAAACCGGGAGAACAGCTGTGCATATTTACGACAGTGCACTTTTACTTTCGCCCTCTGGGGGGAGCTTCGCTGGAAAATCAACACCGGTTGCATAGTGTACCTTTAAGAGAATAGTTCTTCCTAAAGAAGGAAGTAAACTGTGGATTTTTTTTTCATGTCTAATACAAACTCTATTTTTTGTAAACCTACTATCACTAAAATAGAGAACAACTAACCTGTGTCTGGTGGGTATTTTGTAAGAAACCTCTGCAGGGGAGGGCATGGAAAGCAGGTGCTCATTAAGGTTGTCTAATGAGAAGAGTTTCCACAAATATTGCTTAGAGAGCCTGGCCATGCTGCCGCTGCTACATGCATCCATCACCTGTAAGGTGGGGTACACCCCCTTAGCCTGCACTTCACACAGATTCTGAGGACGGCTTAAACTAGAGCCTGGGAAAAAAATGCAAACAGAGTGAAACATATATAGAATAAACAATGGGGTTATAATGTATTACTGTCTGATGATATCATCTGTTTACCAGAGGCATTTACAATCTGGTAGCTGATGGCCCAGAAGTACTGGGCTTTTGTGCAAAGTCTGAGAGTGGATTGGAGAAAAAAAGTGGAATGTGAAGCAATTGTTCCCGTTTCACAGTCTAGTTGCAGTGCTTAAAGAGGCAGGAAAAACAGGATTAGTTTAAAAGTAAGCAAACAACCCAAATACCACATATGCTAGCAAAATGGAAAGAACTAAAGAAGATCAAATATGCAAATTAAAACTCTCATAAAGAAAGCCCTGATTACCACTGTTATCTTCAAAGTTAGGAAGATGTTCTCTTAGCATCTGCTGAACAGAGAGACGGAAATAAATTGGGCAGGGGCTTTTATTCACTATAGGAATGTCAACTAAGTGACAGCTTCCAACTAAAATCTCTCCCACATCCAGGACTTCTTTTACTGCCTGTGAAGTAAAAAAACAAAACAAAAAAACATGCAGGAGTAGTTTGATGAATTTTCTTTCAATTTCTTTTTTTACTCTATGGCTGTATGGTAGAATAAAGAAAATATCTAACAATGCACATACTGTAAAAAAACACAAAGAGATTTCCACCTCAATGGAGACAGCTGAGGCCTTCCCAATCAGTTCTAGGGTTAGGTGCATCTTGTCAGACTCATTGCTCCAGAAGCTGAGTGTTGGTTTCAATGTGTATGTTTTCTTTGCCACAGGACTGAAGGACCACATCTGCACCTGTGAAAAATGCAAACTTCAAAGCAGACTACCCGAAACAACACAATGAGTCACAAACTTATGCTAAAGATATGCTAAGTATTATACCCTTTCAACTTCATGTTTCGTCTTTTCACAGCCATTAGCTACTTTTCTTAATTGGGTTTTTACAGGAAAATAAAAAAAACAACACATTCATTTTCAGTTAAATTAAAGTTGAGTTTATTTGCCAAGTTCCAACAAATATGGTCTTGCAGCAATTTTACAAAAAAAAAAACAAATTAGTGTAATGTGCATAAGATAGGAATCAGAAGTGCTCTCCACAAATTTGTTTTTTGTGTAGCATTGGCTGAAAAAACAAGAAGTCCAATTAACAGTTTATTAAAGGAATTATAGGTGATATGAAAATATGTGGAAGAAATCAATCTTATAATAAAAGACAAAAAGTAAACTTTTTGGCCTTCATGTGAATTTACTATATGTTGGAAAATTAACTTTCCAGCACATATTTTCCCGAACCCACCAGCTCCATAATGAGCCATAGTGGTGGCAGCATCATGCTTCAGGAAAAGTTCTTAAGTTGAGGAGAAGATGAAGAGAGTTAAATTCAGGGCAACCCTGAAAACAAACTATAAGAGTAAGGGTGATGAAAGTGTGGTTACACTGTACAGCCCTTTAAGGCCCCTTGACTAATTTCTGACCACAATTTAAGAATGGTACATATTTCATCCCCCCTATTGTTAATGCAGATAACACATTTTAATTGAGAGAAAAAAAGTTTTTTTTAACCAGAAATACTTTATGTTTTGGATATATAATATTTCAAATATCCTTCTTTCTCAAAATAACTGCTGCATTAATTTCACAAACGTAGTACTGTAGTTTATTGTTTAGTAGATTAAAGAACATGTAGGCTTGTCTAAAAGACTTGACTTTGACTTGATGATTTTGACTTATGTGGCTCAAATTAGAACACGGATGTGTTTGAAGCTATGTACACAAGGCTTGAGCTTGGGACAGAGGTTCATCTTTCTGATGGGCAACAACCTTAGACGTTAAAACAAAGCTGAACCCCAGTCAGTTTCGGCAGATGGCCGCTCACACTGAGCCTGGTTCTGCTGGAGGTTTCTTCCGGTTAAAAGGGAGTTTTTTTTACTCTCCACTGTTGCTACAAGCATGCTGGGTGCGAGGGATTGCTTTTGAGTCAATAAGTCGATGCAATCAGCTGGTTTTCCTAAGATAGAAAACTTTGAACCAATCTGACTATATGATCTGATTGAATTGTCTCTGTAAAGTGCCTTGAGATGACATGTGTTGTGAATTGGTTCTACAAAAATAAACTGAATTAAAATTTTATATTTTAGATAAGAAACCCTCCGTGTTTCATAATATGCATTAAAATACAGAAATTATTTTACTGGAAATATGTGGGATGATTAGAAATTGTATTTTCTTTGCAAAATATTTTGGAAAGGAAAGGGGAAAAAATTGTACCTGTAGATACTGAAAGCTGGTAGGACACACCATCAAAGGTTTACAGTTGATTTATAGATAATAAACATAAAAGCATGTATAATCTACATTTACCTATAATTACAAGGCCAGGCAATGTTTAAGGGGTCTGATTACTTTTGCAATGTACTAAAACTAAATATACAGGATGTGGAACTCTGTCAATCTCTCACCAAGCTCTCGTTGGGATGCAGTTCACCAGCATCTGGTTCGACAGAGATAAGCTGCTGTTCTGCCTCTGAAATGCACCACTGGAACCTTTCATGGAGAACATTCACAGAAAGCCAGATGTAATGTTACTGATGCTAAGATAATTCCAAAGCATAATCACAATACAGGAAAGTATCTGAAAACCAGGAGAAGAATAAGAACATAAATCAATCCACTGACTTGATGGGCAAACAGCTTAGGTTCCTGATGGAATGGGGGTGCTGGGTTCTACAGCCAACAGCTGTTGGGTGGAAATATAAAGTGTTGCCACTTTCCAAAGACACATTTGGCTTTTCTAAAACACTCACAACGTTCAGTTCCTAGGGTGGATGAAGAGTTTACATAAGGTCAAAATTCTGAGATCATTGTGAATATGTTTTACCTCGTCTTGTGTTATTATGTAGTATGAAACCTTTTTGACTTTAGCTGCATTGAGCTGCAGTGGAATGTTGTAGCCCTGCTTGGGACTGTCCTCTGTGGGGACTGTCCTGATGGTGATGATCTGGTGTTTTTCTGGTGGGATCAAACCACAGGCTGGAAAGATTTGCACAGATTTTGGCAAGGCATTGTTTGATGTGTGGTCCAGGCAAAACGTGAGAGGTTGATCTCCGTTATTCTGCAGCAGCACAGTCCGGCAGGAAATGGCTTTCAGAGGAGGAAACACCTAAAATGATAAAAATGATAATGGTTAATGGTTACATTTTTACTTAAGTAGTATCTGATTAAAGCTTTACGATATCTGTTTAGGTAAATTACCACTTGATGAGGTTTCAAAATGCAGCATGGGGTGAAACGCTCTTTTTCTGGCTGAAAAGAGTGGCCGATTACTCTGACAGTCATACACCGAGGCAGACATGGAACATGTTGCTCAGCATTAGGATCTTTCTGTGATATCAAGAGAAGTAGAGCTGTATTATTACATTTGTGAGTTTAAGGGTAGTTTGGTTTTAAAACAAACAAACAAACAAAAAAGACTAAGAAAAATTGAAGCACCTAAATTTCAGGAGTCAAACTGTATTGGTGTGATTTATAGAATACATCCATTACTTTGGAGTATGTAATACTACCTTGTATACAAAGCACTCAAGCTCTCCTCCATGCAGGGTATTGATCTGCTTTGGTTCATATGTCACACACACGGTGGTCGACTTTAGTGGAGCCAACTCAAAAAATGAAGGAGCAACACTAAAAGGGGAGTCTTGGATAACCGTCCACACCAGGCTTGAAAGGAATGAGAAGCATTGTGTTTATACTGAACATGTTAACATTTCACCCAGAAACACATGATCCTCCCACTTTAGCTAACAAAAGTCCCTGAGAAGTTGACGTACCAGAGTTTTGTTTTTGATCGGTTTGCAACAGACACAAACCGCGAGATATCAGATGAAGAAGAAAAAGAGGATGTTGTTTTGTGGTTGAACAGCAGTTCGCTTGGTTCAATGGTTACAAATGGAAGGGATGGAGAGGAGAGAGGATCCATATGTTCCAGACTGATTTCATTATCATTATCTGTGGGTGTGTCCAAAATGACAGAAGCGGTATCTAGATCCTAATAAAAAAATTGAACAATTTCAAATTTAGGAGTTATATAGACAAACACTGCATCATGTTTTCAAAAAGTTAACATTTATAAGTGATAAGGCTTGTGAGTAATGGCACCCCCTGTCGGTTCAGCTTTGTATTATGAAGTTTCTGCTGATCACAGACAGACTCTGATGAGTTCTTTAATATTGCTGGCTGCTGAGGCTCTGAATGACATGTTCCCATCAAGTCCAGAAACAGAGGCTTCTGAGGGTATGATCAGAAACACATTTAGAAAGATATAACATTCTCTTGGATTTTGCAAGTATTTCTCTTTTTTTTTACCTTGTGGAGTATGAGACAGGCCACTTTTCTGTGGTGTGCTATAGGGTGTGTGGGTTTGTAGAGGACCTTGACTTTGATATGGCCATGTGGGTTCAGAGTGCCACTTGCTGGTAAAACAGTAAAAACACTGTTCTTACAATCTATGTCCCATTGATAGATGGCCTGAGCAGGGGAAGAGTTCAGCAGCTCCACTGTTTTTACTGCTGATCCTTTTTCCTCAACATACCCAAAGTCAACCACAGATGAGGACAAACAAACGTTGGGGCCTTAAAGCAAGAACATAATTTCTGATATTAAGGAAACACTTTTTAATCATTGCTTGATTTTTTTAAGAAAACAAATACCAGTTTGTTTTTCTTTAGGCATATTACTCTTACCTACACTCTTCCCTGTGAGTTTGACCCTTGGTTTGTTGAGTGCCCCTTTGCAATTAAGACACAAATACTCCACAGAGACTATGTCAACCATAGCAGGGGAATAAGTGACAGTAACTTTGAGCGATTCACCCGGCGCCATTTTGCCACTGGTGATGTTCCAGCTGAAGTCGGGTTCAAACATTTCTGACCCCCCAGATAGCCGTGAGAGAGAAAAACACACATTTACCTAACCAAAAAGAAAGAACAGGAAAAAGATGAGAACATCCAAATTTTGAAATTTAGGTTGTTTATGCATGCAGAGTGACTTCTTACAGGAGAAGGATTGGAGATCTGAAGGTTTTTACTCAAACTCTGGCCAATAGCCACAGACCCAAAGTGTAACTCGGGTTCAACTTGGCTTTTTTTATCTTTGATACTGGGATTATGTAATTGAAGATATGGATATTTGCCTGCAGATGAACAAAAATAAAAAACATTTAATTTCACAGCAAAAAATGGAAATCTAAATAAGCCATCTTTGCTCAAATTAAGTGCATTTTTTTGTATTGAGGATGTAAGTGAGACACTTTTGTCAATGGAACGGGCAAGACAATTTACATTTAAAATAAGAAAACAACAATTGCTTTGTCTAATTTCAAGTGTATATTATCTAATTAACTTATTTTAGGATTAAAAATACTCATTCCATTGGCAGATCATATTATTTACCTGCTCAAATTAAGGGTAATGCACTTAATTTAAGACATTGTTTACTTATTTCTAGATATTTTTTTTTGCAGTGTTCAAATAAAATGAGAAATGTTAAAATACTTGTAAAATCTGTAATAGTATTTAATTTTGGAGATTAATTTCGGTCAGAAGTGTACATAACTGTGTTTTGTTTAAGCATCAAACATACTAGTACATACCCTCTTTAATGTGCCTTAGCTGGTTGTACCCAACCACTCACCCTTTTATAGACATAATCTGAAATGGTAGAGCACTTTTAAATCTATTGGTTTCTTGGCATAAAATAAGTTTAAACATTACAATAGGTGAGAGGACAGGGCCATTCCTGAAGCTTTATGTCATTCTGCTTTATTTATTTTAGAAGCAGTCTGTCATATGTTTTGCATAATCTTCCTATGCTGCACGTATATTGTGCCTATGGGTTTTTGACACCTGGAGTTGGTTGCTTGGTCCATAACACTTGATGAGTTTTTTAGGGGTTTTATTGGGGGTATGGTTAATCTAAACGCAGAAAACACAGAGAACTTAATCATATCAGGTTTTCATCAACATATTTCAGCATAGCAGAAAAATATACTGAAAGTTGTTGCCGCTATGCTGAAATTAGGCCAAACGCTCATTTTTTATAAATAACTTCTGCTGAAACTGCGTCTTTTAAACAGATGAAACTCATTCTTTGAACATTTATGTAAGAAACCTGCCTGTTTGAGGACTCTGAGTCATATAATACTCGAAGTGCAACCATAATGACTCAGATACTTTGGTTAACTTCTGTTATGCTACCGGTACTTCCTTCTACTTCTTGTCTAGTCTTAGGAATACCTATGCCCTGTAGAAGCACAGTGCAGAAGCTATCCATTTTTTCCCCATCTTCTCCAAATCTGCAGTGTGCCTGCTGCTGGAAAACCTTTGCCTCCAGCGGTTGAAAGTCCACGAAGATCAGGCACTCCTCACCAGGTTTTAACAAGCCATTTTCTGGAGTGAGCTTAAAGGGAGCCCAACAGTCCCATTTGAAATACAGCACAACTTTACTGGAAGAGAAAATAAAGACATCAGGAGTTTTTTTGTAATGTTCAGGAAAAGTTCACTCAGACTTTTGCACTTGTTGACAGGTATGGTGGTTCACTGTTCATGAGGAAGGTACTTTAGTTTGTCTACGACAGATTTTTTTTAAAAATTATTATTTGTTAAACAAAAATTATAAATCAATTTATCATTTTCTATACTGGGGGGGGGAATGTATAATTACAAGCATAACTGTATGACCATAAATCAATAAAGTCAAAGTTACCTGGCATTTTTTAGTGGGAACCTGGTTTTTGTGGCATGCTGAACTGCACAGTGGGGGAGCATCACAGTTTCGGGCACCTTCAGCTCAAAATGTGGAGGCACAGCATGGAGGTGTATTTGAAAGCTTCCCTCTTTAGCTTGAAACTGAATTCTGTCTTTATACTCACACTGTCCGTCGCAATCAGGCAAAGACAAAAAACAGCTGAGTGACAAGAAACAAACTAGCGACAAAAAGCTATACAATCAATGAATGATTTTGTCACACTAAGGTGGTGTTGAATGTAACCGTGTGTTACCATACCCTTTGAAGAGGTCTAAAGGTGACTGGTAAGGAGAAGGAAGTTCCGGGGCTTAGAACAGCAATTTCAGGATTTATGATTGAGAAAAAATTGGATGCTGGAGCTCTGTGAAAAAAAAAGGGAGGCTTTGTTGTCCTCTTAATCTTACAGTACATTGGAAGCTGTGCTTGTGAGTTTGCATTACCTTATGCGCAGTTTCTGTAGTTTGTTACAAACATTTCTTAACACCATTGTCTTAGTGTACTCTTTTCCGACAACCCAATCCTCCCATAACAGCTCTGGTCTGGTTTCCAAACCAAAGAAGGACTTTTTGGTGCCAGAAAATTTTCTTCTATAGTGTTTTCTGTCTGAGAGATGTGGTTCCTGTAAAGGAGGTTGTTGCATAGTATGCAAATTTGGAAAATAACAAGAATTAATACCTACATCTGAGTAAAATGAAACTATCAAATAAAAGATTAATTAGCTGCTATCAATTCACTTTATTTGTATAGTCTATAAGCTTTGAACATTTACAAAAGGACCGTTTCATCTACCATATAAAAATGGAGAGAGTATGGCTTGACCCACCAAGACATGGTCCTCTAATTAAAGTAACAGGTGGGTAGGTGGAGTTTGATCACAGAAACAACCAATTGGTCAATAGTAACTCTATGGAAGCTGACTAATGTTTCAGTAGCGGTCACAGCAAACATGTTTAAAAAGGTTGTTCTAATCGGGTTAAACCATTATTTAACTGTTTTTGCCTCCCTGCAAAATGCTATTTGCTTTTTGGAAAACTGAAATTTCATGATAAAACTGATGGAAGTGGCATGTTATGGGAATGCTCATTCTCAAAATGTACAGTATAGCTGTGTCAGAGTTGGGATAAGAATACAGGGCAATCGAAGCAGAAATATCTATTAAAGAATGCAAAATACAGGAGGCTGTGCAGAAGTGAGCCTCATACAATCTGAATAAGCTTAAACTAATTTGGAAATTAGAATGAGAGTCACTATATATGAAAATATGATGTAAACATACCCCTATGTACTTGCAGTCAAAGATGGTGCTGCACAATATTTACTGTCTGATTAATGCACACTAAAATGTCCTTTTTTTTAAAGCCTCTATAAAAAAAACATGTAGCAAGTCATTTTCATCTACTGTACAACTGCGTGTTACTTATAAGCATATCAAAACACTTGTGAATATGATAATGTTTCAGAATTGTTTTTTTCCAGGTTTTACATGATTTTATTTAAAATTCTATTTAAATCAAATTTGTTCTGTGAGTAAAAACAGCTTTTACAGCAGTGCTATGGGGATTTTCTTTAACCCTTTATAGGGCAAGTTAGCATTTTTGATCACTGGAATACCCCTTACAAATGGAGTCCCACCTGTCCCACAGTGCAGTCTGGAAGCACAAGATCTATATCCAGTCATTCAGCAAAGATCCTGCTACATGGCTGTACATCATTTTTTGGTATTTGACCAATTAGATGAGCCCTTGTATGATTTATTACCTACAGTAAATTAATTTGAAAAAAAAAAAGTTAACAAGTGAATGAAAAAAAAGGTAAAAAACTAATTGAAAAGTTAAAAAGTAACGTTAAAAAGTTAATAACCCTAGTTATCAATTATATTTAGGTTTATAAACAAAAAAATGTAAGTGCCAGTATCAGCATTAATGCCTCTAAGGTTATCTTGTACCAAAAAAAATGTGTTTCTTTCACTCTCAGAGTGTTTTTCACACGGACAGTTCTAGACAGGAGCCAACGGAGGCCAGTGCCCCTGTATATCATGTCCTGGCCCCTGTTATGGCCCCTGTTCTGAAGAAATAATACTCAAAGAAATTCTAATGATGATATGCGCTTGAACAAACATGGTTACTGATAGGTCTTTTGGATCAATTTAATTCTTTACAAATTCTGTTTTACTAATTATTTAAACAATAAGGTGATAGCTTCAGTGGTATTGAGATAGGATTCCATTTTTTCCCCCAAAAAAAATATTTAAAAAAAACCCCTCTAATTTTCTACAGCTGAATTTATCAGTTTTTCCTGAGTTCTAATTCAGATATTATAGAAAGCAGTGATTTTAACTTAAATTAAGTCAAAAAATATGTAATATTCCTAAATTATGAATGTATATTGACCTAATAAGACATAGAATTTCAATTAAACCTAATTGAATAGAAATTTCACTTCATGCAGCTATCTTAATATATTTGAATCCCTTGCCCCGTTTTTTATTTCATGCTTTCCTGGGCCCCCATTGAAACACACAGGCCCCCACCTGGCCCCCTGGTCCATTTTTGTCTAGAACCACCACTGGTTTTTCATAAATTTCTTATACAAACAATTTATTGTTTTTCTTATAATATTCGGGCAATTTGGCATTTCTTGCTATTACATTGAGATTAATTATTTCCTCCAAAACATCCATATTTTTGTTATGTTACAAAGGTAATAAGGTTTTGTCCTGATTCCAAAAAAAAAAAAAAAAATATATATATATATATATATATTGGCTTGAAATTTTGATTTTTAAAGTATTTCACTGAATGCCTTATAAAGGGTTAAGTCATTAATGTAATGTTCTTTTTCTTTCAACTGTTTCTGTGAGGATAGTTTACTCTTCAGGCTGGTTTTGACTTTACTTTGTCTT